AAGTGGCAGGGTGCAGGGTAAAATGCAGCGGGCGACAGCATGCAGGTGGAAGATGGAGTCCGCGGCATGCATTGGCTGAGCCCAGCTCGATGGGGACATCCATTGTCAGGGGGTGGGGAGAGGTGAGGGTGGGGGAATAACGCAGCCTTCCACTCCACAGCTTTGCTGACGAAAGGAAAAAATCAAGATTGCCTTGGCTCCGTTCCCTGTTCCTTTACAGCCTCCTCTTCTCCTCCTCCAATTCAGAGCGAAGATCACCTTGTGCTTGTTGCAATGGCCAGTGTGGTACAAAGGCCAGGGGGGTCTTTTCTCAAGGGCAGTGAGAAACGTAAGCTGGCAACGAAAAGGTTTTCAAATAGAATCTCTCTCGCTGTTCAGAATAAAACCAAGGAATACACCCTTCGCATCAAGCTTTCACCTAGAAAGGTGCACACGAGTTTACTCCACCCTGGATACATTCCAGAGACGCAGGTTCCCATGTCCCAGCCAGCAAAGCCTTCGTTGAGAGTTTATATCCATACATCTCAGTTGCATCCAGGCTGGGCAAAGTTGGTTGAAATCGTGACTGTACGAGCTGCATTTTCTTCAGGTGCCATCGCCTAAAAAGCAATTTAAGCAGGCTCAACCCTCTGCTCATTGATTTATTCATATGGATCAAGGCCAGGCAAAGCTTCAGATGTGATTCCAAAAAAGGTGTTTCGCAGCCCGCAGGAGTGCAAACGCCACACCTACCTGCAACTCTTTAAAGCACCTGTGCCTTTTCCTCTGCAGCTCCCACGTGGGACAAGATACAGCTGCTTTAAAGAGTTGCAGACAGGGCTACGTTCACATCTGCACCTGCTCTGAAGCGCCCTTTTTGGACTTGATCTCATGCACTGCCCAGTTCTTAATAACATACCCTGACCTGTAACCCCTTGGCCTTGGGCAGCTGATAGAAAAAGTCACAACAAACTAAGATACCCGAACAGTTCAGATCACCACCAACCATTCAAAAGACCTCCTTCCGAGGACATACTGGATACAGGGAGGAGGGAAAGTCAGGTTTAAAAAGAAGTGGATGGGATTGAAAAAAAGTGTGGTCTGACTCTAGATACCCCTATTTGGCTTTAGCAGTGCCCCCTTTCCCCTTGCCTCACTCACATGCAACCCTTGACCAACAAATGCATACAAACACATGGATGAATATTTGTCAGCCGTTCCCAAGCTGGTCTATCTGGAAGGATTGACAATATTTGCATGTGTGTGTCTCTAACATACCCAGGGTCTGATCTATCAAATCCGTACTCCACATCCGGTTATATTTATTTATTTATTTATTTATTTATTTATCATATTTATATAGCCACCCATCTCACACAAGGTGACCCTGGGCAGCACACAGCAATTAAAAAGAATAAATATGTCAAAAACAATTACGAATAAAAAAACTGTAAAAACACACAAAATATTGCATTTCAGGAATCCAAGGCCCGTCTTATAGTTCCTCATTTAACCAAATGCCCAGGCAATTCTGGTTTATTCTACGGACAGTTGCTATTATGAGACCAGTATGATTCAGTTTCCACGAACATGGCCAAATGTTGCTATGCTGTTGGTAAAACCAGACCCACTTCGACTGCATTGACTGCAGTAAACTCAACTATTTTGTTTTATTTGCTGTTAATTTGTTAAATGATGGTCAGTGACTGTAATAAGGTTAATATCCATACAAATTCAGGGTCTACCAGCTAGGTTAGTCCTTGGATCCCAGTGCTGGATCCCAGGCTGGACTAAAACTATCTTGGAATAAAGCCATGAAAAACACCAAAACTTGCCTGACGGGACTCTTTCCTTCTCTAGCTACTTTAAGACGTGTGGATTTCAACTCCCAGAATTCCCCAGCCAGCATGCTGGCTGGGGAATTCTGGGAGTAGAAGTCCACACGTCTGAAAGTGGACAAGTTTAAGAAACATTGCTTTCGCTGATACCACCACTAGAAGGCAAAATGTTAAAACTTCCCTAATTTAAGAGGTTCTACCCCCCAAAAAAGCTGGGGTGGGTGGGAGGAAAGACCTTCTTTAGAGAAAGAATGCATGTACTTTGGTTTCTGGAAACAAAACACTCTCAGTTTAACCCCTGTTGCTTCATAATACCCTCTTCTCTTCCTTAGCCTTCATCTTAATATCATAATACCTGCCTCTGCTTATTTAGGCTTGTTCTTGGAATTCAAGGACAGCAAGCAAAGTAGACCTCGTGGTCGTTGAAGGCGGGTTAAGCTGTGGCACGTTCATTGCATCCAGAAGCCACTGGCCAGGTCCACGCAAGCGAAAAACGTAGGATCTAAGCCGGGTTGGTGAAGCCTTTGCACAGGGCGTGGACCTAGCCCCAGGGTCCCCATGCAACTGAAGGTGCCCAAGGCCAAAGGAGACGTCAAGGTGGCTCTGGGGGGAGGAGGAAGCCCACGCCATCCAAAAGGAGGAGGAGAACCACACACAGAGCAATATATTCACTGGTGCAAAAGCTGCGTCCGAGCGAAAGGGGAGGGAAGGGGCCAGGGACACAGGGAGGGGGACGGGGGTCCCTGATGCACACGTGGAGGCCTCGAGGGTTAAAAAGCCAGGCTAGTCCTGTGTGGTGCCGCTTACCATGACAGGTACACTGGACTAAAGGTAACTCCATTCCAGACCCTCCGACGGTCCCCATGCCGTTCCATTGAACACACAACAGGCGCGCTGAATGGAGAACCAGCGGGGATCACTGTTAAATGCAATTAAGAAACTGCAATCAAATGGAAACGTCCGTAGCAAACAGAAAGGGAAAGGGGGAGAGACAGAGAGGGAGGGAGAGAGAAGGACCACGTCATTTCTGAATCTCAGGAAGCCCTGCCTTGATTTAAAGCTTGGGAGGGCAGGCCGGCCTTCGGAGCAGGCTTCAACGTGGCTCACCAGGCACAGATTCCTAAAAGAGCTACATCTGGGGAGGACAGAAGACATCATGAAACCATCTTGTTCTGCTGCACGTTCAGGGTTCCTCAACCGTAGCAACTTCAAGATGTGTGGACTTCAACTTCCAGAATCCCCCAGCCAGCATGCTGGCTGGGGAATTCTGGGGGTTGAAGTCTACAAATGCTGGCTGGGAAACTCTGGGGGTTGAAGTCCACACATCTTAAAGCTGTTGAGGTTGAGAAACACTGAGCTAACCAATTCTTTCCACAGCAGGGTGTGTCCCCAAATCCTTTTGTCCTTGACTCTTCCCCGCCTGCAACTCATTTTACTGAAAAAGCCACCTTTCTGAGAGAGGTCCCTCGCTTTGTGCCACTTTCAGCTGCTAAAAAAATAAATAAATAAGTAAGTAATCCATGTGCACCTTTGAGGTTTCTAAGGCAACCTGAACAAGGATTAGCTAGGTTCCACCCAACCCTTCCCCAGACTTGGTCCCTCCAGATGTTCTGGACTATATCACCCACCATGGCTAGCAGTCAGGGATGATGGGATGTGTGTTCAAAACACCTACACAGAAAGGGGAAAGGTGCTGCTATCAGTCGCATTCTTCCATAAACCCATGTGATTTTCTGTTCTCTTTCGCGCACACACACACACACATTATGCAATCTTTAATCTAGATATTCCCATGATTTTAAGTCTTACAAGTCTATCAGCATAAACAGCTTTGCGTGCCTTCAAATGGCAAATGGGACATTCTCCACTGAGAAATATCCCCTGCACAGAAATCCAGCAATGCAGCTAAAATGACCACCTTAGCTTCTCTCCTTGACATGCTAACATTCTATCTGCAGGGTGCATCAAATCACAGGAATAACTCTCTGAGATAAGGCTTCAAAAATGCATCTTTTTTAAGAAGGACGATAAGGGGAAGAAAGAAATGAAGCTAGGGAAAAACATCACAGAAATCAAAGAGAAACAAGATGCTACTTAAGAAGTCATTGAAAAATACTCCTAGGATGCCTGCTCTATAAAAGGTGATTTTATCCCAAGGGATGGGTCAATATTTGAGGAAGACTTCAAACTGAAGCCACAACAAAAGCAAGCAAGCATGAGAATTGTGTTTGCTGAAATCCAAAAATGCCCATTTAGGTTTATTGCCAGCAAAAGGACTAATCTGAAACTCTAGAAAAACAGACACAACCCTTGCACACAATGCTCCAGTCCTTCTAAAGGGCTTATCAAGGAATGTGTGATGAATAAATAAATAAAATCTGGTTTTATGGACACCTAGTCGCTGGGTTTTCTGGGCTTCAGAAGATAACTAGCAAGATAGTCATCAAGTTTCTTGCAGACTCGTCAGCCCACATCCCAGCAAAGCTTTCTCAGTGCAACTGATCTGAAATGTTGAACTGATCTGAACTGCTACACCCATCTGAACCATTGCACTGGGGCAAAACATCTGTACAAAACTTGATCAATACCTTAGTACTGATCTCCCAAAGCCCCAAGAACTCAACTGCTAAGTATACATAACAAACCTATTCCAAGAGATCCACCAGTTTTATAGGTTATCTAATAGATAATAAATTAAGGTATGGGACTTAACCAAACAGTATTTCTGGTCTCTCTCTTTCTCTCGATCCTGTGCTCTTCCTTCTCCGCTCCTAAGTATTGCAGTCTCATGTCATTGTAGAGAAGTACCAAATGACATTTAGGCAAGGCTGGGAAGAGGAAGAGATATGAAAGGTATCCTATGCAAGCATGACACGAAATCTCCAGACTTGGCTGACTTGTTTGACTCATAAAACCGCCATGAAGTCAATGGTATGGCGTTTTTATGGGACTGTGTGTGAAAACAAGCCACCTCACTGGTGATAAACTATGGCCACTGGGAGTGTTAAAGAAAAATTCTGCAGGCTTGAGGACATCTCAAAAACTCTAAAAGGGTGGCAGTGTAGAAATTGGCTCTGGAAGCAACTCTGCCGAAAAACGGGCTTGGAACTGGGTTGAAGAACAGAAAAAATGTGCAGGGTATTTTCTTATTAGGTCAATACCATTATTTTGCTTTAATGCATGTGCTTACGAGGGCATTGCAGGGCATTCAGTTTTGCACAAGAACCTGTTAAAGAAGAATGGAGGTGAGTCTCATTTCCCGATCCCCCACAACTCCTGAAATCTTCCACCAGCATACCCTCCTCCTCCAAACACAGCTGAATTTCTCATCCTACTTTGATGTGTAAAAGGGCCAGGGGTAGCACTAGCGTTTGGTCTTCTCAGATGGTCTAATGGCCCACGCTCCAACTAGGAGCTCACTATTGAGAAACAGCGTCCCCACCGTCTCCATGTAATGCAAAGTGAAGACGTCCTTCTCAGGGTAGATCAGGGTAAAACAGGAGCAGCAATAACAAAAGCAAAGCAGAGAAAATGGGATCCTGAAGGAAGAGAGGCTTATTGAAGGAATTGGATCCTTCACCTCTTTCCTTTCAAAGGTCAAGAGATGTCCACTGTATTGTGACAGAAGGCAGCTTGGTGCCTCCAGCTGTTTTGAGCTGACGGCAAGGGACTATGGAAGTGTGAACTTGGGCACACTGTCCCCATTAATTTGAGCATTTGAAAGGCTGACCTGGATTAAATCTCAGTGTAAGCAAATGCTATCTAATAGTTCCATACTTGGTTGCTCTTTCACCAGTGATGGGTTCTCCCACCCCATCCCTCTTGCTGTTAGCCAGGATATGATCCTATGTCACTTACAGAGATAAAGTGGTCCAGCTGCCATTACAGTGGATGTTCCTTCAGTTCTTCTCCACGCAAGAAAACAAAAGACACACATGAAGTAAACCCACCAAAGTGTTATGATGTGATGCCAGAATGGTCAAGCTTGGCCAAAAAAAATCCCACCACTATCACAACACAGTGGGTGGCTCCTTCACAACAGGCACTGCTATAATCCCGCAACTCACACACTGCTTTCTGTGCTACAACATCTAATTGTGGTTAGAAAGTTCAATGAATCTCTGCTTTTGCACACTTTTCTGAGCATCAAGCTTCTTCATTCAATCTCTTCAACCATCTCAGATTTGGGGTGTAATCTTGAATTCCAAAGTGCAACCTTGCACATCACCTAAAGAACAGATGCCTTAGGGCCAGGCAGATGACATTCAGAGGCAGCACCTAAACGTGTAGCTATGTGGGCATGGGGCATCTCTAGCTTCTTTGCCGTATCCACTGGAAGTCATGAAGATCACATCAGTGAGAATAAATCCTTCCGTTTGTGGATCTTTGAAAGCCAACAAATGAAACTACCTTTCTCCCAGCTCAAACGGCAAAGAAATATTCAGCCTGCCAAATTAGGAAACCAAAAAGAACAAAATAAAACAACAAAGGTTGGAAGAAATTTCTATTTCCATTCACATTGCTGAAAGAGAAGCGACTTTTTGGTTGACTGAAATAGACAGCCTGATATCGAGATGATATCAGACCCAGCTATTTTAAAACTCTTAAAAATAGAACCATATTTTTACATCAATTTGCACCAGGAAGGAGAAGAGGCAAGAGAACAAGAAGAAATCAATTGGGTGAGGGCAGGGGGGGAACCTTTCATATTTCCAGAAAGTTTTCCTTATCTTAATTATATAATTACATCTTATCTGGTGATTTTATTCTGGCTCTTCATATAAGGAAATGGAAATCTCAAGGAACCTAGCTTAAAAGACTTAGCTGGCACGGGGAGCATATTTTTTTAAAAGATATAATTACTCCAAAATAATTAGAATGAAACAATTCAACAAAAATTCTTGATGCAACTGCGTGTGTGGCTGCACTGGATTAAGCCTTCGTTGAGTGTCAATCTGGGGCCAAGATATTCAAGCCTCTTTGCCACAAGTCTAGCTGAATGCTTAATTTGTGTATGCATACCCGCCCCCCCCATGTATTGTTTTACCTAACAAAATTCCTAAATCAATACTTCTGAAACTTGGCAACTTTAGGATGCGTGGATTTCAATTCCCAGAATTCTAGGAGTTGAAGTGCACACACCTTAAAGTTGTCAAGTTTGAAAAACATTGTCCTAAATGGTCTTCGTGTCTGGTATTCTGTGGTCCACAGTGGCCCACCAGGGAAGCTCAGGAGCATGGACAGGAGTTAGCGGCATTCATAACTAGCTAG